GAGAACCGAAGCGGGCCCACCGGCTGCTGCCCCGCCCCCTGCATGCGAAGGCCGTGGGAGTGGGACAGAAGACCCTCATTAAAAATGTCCTTCCCATCGATCGTGACCGTAACGCAGGGTTGCGGCGCAGCTCAATTCTTTTTGTTGAACAAATTATACTCGACGACGACGATGAGGTCAATTACTTACTTTTAAGCATCAAGTGCCGTTCTAAATCGACGATATTTCTCGATACATTCAGCGCTTCCGGGATAAGCTGCCAACACACAGATAGGCCCAAGATCCTTGATGACGTTGTTTGATTGCTTAAGACTGCAAAAATCAAGTCTTCAAAATACTAAAAACAGCTGTCTCAAACAGATGAAATTATTTGGAATCGTTTCTAGAACTTGAAAATATACAATACTTTTTCTTATTGTGTTCTATCGTTGGTACCCTTTGATAAAATCGAAGCGCGTGTATCGCAGCATCACAGGTTCTTTTGAAATCGTCAGGAAAGCCGTTGAGCCGAGCCCGATCACCCATCACCCGACACGCCGTCTTTTCGCTGTTCCATCACATTGTTCTTGGTTTGCACACTAAAAAGCGAAGGTAAAATGACTGCTCACGTTGGGGTTCGAAGAATGGTGCTGGCTGACATATGTCCTGGACTGGATGATTCACTTATAGTCGGTGTTATCATAGGCAGTCAAAGTGCGAAAATCGTGACCATGAAGAAAGGTAATAACCGTTCGTACACACTGTCGCGATGGATGTTCCTTAACAATGAATAAGTTTCTTACAAGCTTCTTCCTACAGACCTTTCTCAAAGAGGTGTATGGAATTTCACCCTTCGTGATTCTGAAGAAGACTTTGCTAATGTTGCTGTCTGGGGGTCACCTACGTACATTGAAAACTGTGCTGAACAATTTCATATCGGAGATGTTGGTGAGATCTTATTGCTTTAAGGATGCTGCATTACTAATAGCCTCTTAATACGGTTCAGTTCGTCGTGACCAGAGTGTGGGCACGCCTGTGTTTTCCCAACATTGAAATTTATTTTCAACTTTAAATCACTCATTGAACAAAACTGATGTACCTTATTGTCTCTCAATTTTCAGTATCAGTGACAAAGGCTCGGATAACTTTACGGGTTACAGGAGGGTCTGAAGACAACTTTAGGCCTACTGTCTCAAGGCGAGTATTATTCATTTCATCAAATAATAGTATACTTTACAGGAACTGAACCATATTCTCTGCATTTTAGTCCATTCCAGCTGACATTAACTGAGGGCTCATCAGAGATACAACATCACTATCTTCCAGATGCCCAACATTTTCAAAGTCTAATTCATGTGCCAACAAAGCAGTCTTCAGATATTACTCCTCTGAGGGATATTAGCTCCAGCGGGGACTTGATGCAAGGAAATTATGTTAATATTTTGGTGGCAGTTCAAAATGTAGGCTAAACCATTAAACTAGTTTTAGAAATCAATATAAATTTTTGGAAACCAATAAAAACAAAAATATGTGTTGAATATTTACACAGGTTCAAAGAGTGAGACAGTTGAAACTTCAAGATGGTCGTCAGATTGAGTGCCGAGAAATTGTGGTGTTTGATCGAACAAGCCATGGCTTATCAGTTCAGCTGTGGGATAAGGAAATTATTTACCAAGCATCTCAGTGGAAACCTAGAGAAACAAGTATAGATTAATTCTTTTTCATAGGCCCATAAAAGTCTCACAGAAAATCATATACTGTATAATTTTGCATACTAATTGTTCTGTGAATTTTGTCCAGTTCTGTTTATAGCAGATATCATCTTGAAATGGAGTGGGTACCGCAATGCCTCCTCACCTACGGTTAACTCAAAGACGATAATTACAGTTGATCCTCAAACAGAAGATGCAGAATGCCTCCGAGCATATGCAAGAGCTGCACCTCTCCAGCCTTCAGCCATAATAGATTATTTAACAAGCAACATAACAGATGGTATGATTAAGCAGTTCAGGAATGTTTCATCTTACTCCTGCTATTTAGCTTCCAGCATCCGAAATGTTCTGTCTGTAAGAACAGTCCTGTCACGTGGTTGGGCTGATGTGAAAAACAGTGTATCTGAAGATGAACAGCAATTTACTGCACTAGTTTATGCTGTTGTAACACATCTTGATCTTCATCATGACAATGTAGTACAATTAAAATGGTATGAGAACTATTCTGCCATGTTTCAGGGAGAAATCATACGTTATCACATGCCAATTAAACCTCACACTTCCTCTCTTACAGTGCCTCTTGCAACAAAGTTACTTCAGTTGAAAACTCATGTTCTAACCTTGACTGCCCAGTTGAGCAGGGATCAGAAACATTTGTTCCCCGAAGAATGTTTAACATACGAATTGATCTATCAGATCACACAGGAACTTTAAAAGGTTGTCGTCTCACTGCTGAAACTGCAGAAACTGTTCTAGGGTGCACAGTAAGTTCATTAGATGACTTAGGCTGTTCAAAATTAGTTTACTGTTGTCAATATTACTTAATTTTAAATCTTTGAATTTCCAAGGTATTAGAGTTTGGATCCATGTCAGATCAACAAAAAGATATACTCAAGTGGAATTTTTTGATGGAGCGTTGTGCTGCAAGAATACTGGTGCTTAAAGCTTCTCATGAGCGGCGCCAACCTTACATATCCCTGATCTCGTGCTCTATTGCAGACACTTCTGAAGTTGCTGCTAAAATTCCTATCTTGTGATCAACCTCATCATAAAAACTCACGAGATAAGCTTAAACAAAATCGAAAATTAAGAAGGTGCACTGATTACTAGATAGATACACCAAGATGATTGTGCGATCATACCATCCATTGGCATAGCCTGCAAAATGTCTTGTCAAATTACCTTAAATTAGATATTTAAAAAGTACCATAGAGGCAATACTTAGGCCTAGGTACCATATTCAAATGTAAAAAAAATTATTAAGTACATTTTCACTTGAGATACTTGACTTAATAAATCAATTATTACTTGCACAAATTATTTATTCTGTCCAGTATGTACAATGAGGAGCAACTTCCATGTGAGTAACAGCTCAGTTACCACACAAAAATTGATCAGTCACAACATAAATATCACATTGAATAAGGTCAAAAGCACTCATGCTCCTTCCTGTCTTGGGAACAGTAGTTTCTTAACCAATTTCAAATTTACAACTTCATTTCACAAATTACGCTTGGGGATTTCACACACTTTTTAAAATTCATTATAAAATTGCCACAGGACATCTGTCCTAAGTTGCTCCAGTTCCTGCTGTGGAGTCTATATGTACAACTGATTTTATCACCACACATTTCCTAGGTAGGTCCAAGACTTGACTAGGCTGTGTATATAAATGTAGGCCCTTAGATTTCTGCCAAACATAAAACAGAACATTAGATCCTATTAAACAGTGCTATGGAAAGGTAAAGAAAAGAAAATTAATTCGCAGTTGACAAGGCCATGGACTAAAGGTGCCCCCAGTATTGTAGATAAAGAATTCTTAAGAATACCTGGGTTTCAAAAGGGTGCCTAATGTCTCAACACCTATAATTTATCATGCAGTAGATAATTAAAAAATTACTTTACCATTTAGAACGCTTAGACCAGTCTTTAGGAGTCCAATGTAAACATTTGGGGTCAATTCTGATTTTTCTTTTGTCCATTGCAGATTTATGCTGCTGTACCATATCCTCCGTTAATGTTATTATATATTGGCCTTTGTAATAATTGATTAGGTTCAAATTTTGGAGGGTCGAAATGACGTCTTCTTTTTTTATGCTGGTCAGTTCACAAATTTCACTATGGAGAAAAGTACTTGAATTAGAACCTGCAATTTACAAGGGTGATAGCAAATAAAGTTGTCCACAACATACTTGATTGTAATTTGTGGTTTTTCGTTGTCTCCAGTTGGCTTTATTGAAATTAAGATGTCCAATATTGTATTGGCCCAGTACGACCGATAAGACAACAGTCCCAAATCTGATAGAGGCTTTTCTGGTGATCCAGTTTTACCTTCAAATTTGGATAATTCATAACCTATGAAGAAAAATTCAGAGGTATTAGTGAAACTTCATAAAAAATAAACACAATTACAGCAAATACAACAATAAAATTAAAACTGCTTACTAAATTCTATGAGCAATTTTCCATATCCTTTCCTCTGATAAGGAGGCATGGTAAGTATACAAGCAACGTTGTAGTCTTCTGTTGATTCCTTCTCTTTGCTAAAATAACCAACAATATGGAATCCTCTACTATCCAGATCCGTCATCACATAGAAGAGAAAAGGGTCTGTGTCATAATAGAGGGTCTTGTGATCTAGAAATAACTTTGCCAAAAGACAAAGGTTCTGAAAGAAAAATTTACTAGTAAAAAAACCATGCTATGCAAAGTATGTAAGAACACATTCAAAATTTGACAAATGCTTTACCTGAGCATACGCTTTATTTTTCCTCCCATCAATTTCAAAAAAGGATATGGTATTTTTTCTATAGATTTCATTCCCAGGAGGGTGACGAACATTGCATTTTGCCTAGATTAAAACAAACCTTAATTATTACAGTTATCTGTATACATCAAACCATTTAATGAATCAGTCAACTACAGAGATATTTTTTAAAAATGGATTTACTTACAAGATGTCTTTCCAAACATTTCCGACTTTTTCTGTACTTGAGACAAAATTCACATATGTAGATGCATGTTAAGTTAACAAGTTCCTGAAATGAAACAACACAGCAGGAATTTTAGTCTTTGCTCAAAAAGTCTACGAATTAGGAGAGCAAAGTGACTTAAGTAAGGTAACTCCTACCTGAGGATAAGGTGAAAAATACCATGGACGAATTCTATGTATGCCAAGCTCAATCATTTGTACATTTTTCATTCGGGTTACTACATCATCATTATGGGCAACCATACTACCAGTCAGCCTTGGTTGTTGAGTTCCATCAGCTGAGGGTTCTGGTGTCTGGGGCTGTAGAGTTTTTAAATTATTGTATAGATTACCTACATCATTTACTCAAAAGTAAAGTACAACATTTTAAAAATATTTCTTTACAGCTAGTACCTGAATCTTTTGAATTTTGTGGTTGGTTGGTGTTGCTGGGAGTCTTTCCTCCTCCTTTGAAAAGATAAAAATTACAGATTTTCTTAAATGCACTTAAAAGGAAAACTATGCGTAAAATCTTGGTATAACTAACCACAGGCGGAGTTGGAATTGGAACTGGAGTTGGAGTTAAAGGGACATCATTTTCAGTAGTTCCTTTCCGTTTACGGTTTATTTTTTTGTGAAGGGCTGCAGCCAGAGCAGCCCCACCTCCATTGGTGAGTGGATCACTGATTGGAGATGTTGGCCTTGATGACGGGCCAATACTGTTTGATCCAAGAATGGCTGAAAATATTACAAAGGAATTGTCAAAAATCAACAAATACAAATGTGTAATTAGCACACAAGACCAAATAATTTTGAGTAGTTTTTGTAAGTACTTGTCTTTTTTGGAGTATTGACTCCAGTTCCTGGCTGGCCATCTCTTCGAGGGTATTGTACTTTCCGAGTGTCCAATCTTTCGACACTGACCCATTCATCAAGTCGTTTGTTGACTGAAACATTCATGCAAGATAATTAATGAACCATTCTATTTAAAATGAGAGATTGAAAAAAAAAAAATATAATCAAATGAGGACTTACAATCAACATAGTGTACATAAAATGACAAATCTGAAGCTGTAGATCCTCGTATGCTCACAATTTCAGCAAGAGCTGGAATTAACAAAAGTAAATTAGTACAAGAGGAAAAATTGATTATCTACCTTATTATACAAATAATGGACACTTGTTGTATTAAATGAGAAATGAAGCAAATGAGAAGACAAACAAGAGCTTCATGTTTCAAGAGGAACCTACGCCAATCTTGTGTTCCACCCATACGAACAGGCAGCCGGCATCCTTCAACCAGTTCAGTCTGTAAGACCACAAAAATTTCATGAGTATATATAAACTTAAAATTAGAAGCATGCACAACAAATACATTCAAATTACAATACTGGTGTGTACCAGCATAAATGCAAAACTTCAATAAAGTACTAAAAAGAAGTAACATGAAAATTCTCTTTCATCAAGTGAAAGAAAGTTTAAATACAAATACATAAGTAACATGTAAGCTTAAAAATAATGGAGAGATTTTAAGAAATATTGAAATACAAAAGTGCAAGATGAGGTTAAGTAACATTCCCACTCTGCCTAGGCTTGAGTAATTTAACATTTTTTCAGTATCGAAAAATAAGAAAAACAAAAGATTAAGAACTAAATATTTAATAAATGAATTTTACTAACCGGTGAATCACAAATTGAATCCCTATCATCGCCATCTTCATTCATAATTTTTAAAATTCAAATATTTAAAATCCAAGCTCCCAAGCTTGAGTCCCTTGCTGATCATAACAAGAGTTACGAGAAGGCTGAGGCCGCAACTTTCACGGCCTTCTCTTCTCTTGTCAGCTCTGCTGCCAATAGTCTTAAATTTGGCGCGGTAGTTTGAAATTCTACGGTCTTATGCACTTCTGCCTGCGCTGCTGCTCAAAATCAGTTTACGTGCGGGAGTTGGTTGGTTGCATCATCTAGGATCCCTTTTGTTCCTAATCTCATCGGTATCTCTAGCTACTTGGGAGGCCTTTCTGCGAATTAGCAAATCATGTTAAAACCATAAGCTGTCAGCCTTTATATATCGTAGTGGCAAGTTACACAAATAGCCACAATCCTAACCTACGCGTCGTTTATCGTCGTATTTCAGACGCAACAGTTTCAGTTTCTGAAGAAGTAACAAATGTATGGCATGATTTGTTTAAAATATTTTTAAAATTTTCTCAATTTTCTTGACGTATTTTGTTTAGTGCTCAAACTTTTTGTTTTTTCTGTTTTATGATGATAATGTATTTTGTTTTGATTTCAGATGGTACTAGGGTACACTGTCAACCATCTTTTTCAACATCCTGTTGAAAAAGTTGTAAATGCCCATCGAAAGTCATATGACGAAAGCAAAGACATAATCGAAGTAAAGCAAGTCGAACATGAGCACGGTATGTAGTTTTGGTTTTCACTTCCACAGTATATCCTGTTATGCGTAATGTCTCTAAGTAATAATTTTTACTTACAGATGTACAAGGCCTTGAATATGTGAAATGGATTATCACATCATTCAACCCCATGCCCAATATTGTGAAAAAGGTCACCATACATGGCTTTTGCATTGTCAAATTGAAATGTTTGCTACCTTATTTTTTAAATTTTTTGTTCAATGGATTGCAGATGGGTGGAATGGATCATCCAAATATTCAAACAGAAGAAGAAATGTGGGTAGATGAACCTAGCAGACGCCACTGGTTTCGTCAGCAAAATATTTCTTTCATTGACAACATGATTCTGCAAAAAAACTCAACATTTGTACCAGATTCACACAACCCAGATTGGTATTTGAAACTATTTCCTTGATGCTGGAGCTGGAATTATCATATGAAACAGTTCAGTCATTGGTTTTAAGATCCATATTATCTCTTTCCTCAGGACTTGCTTTGAACAAGCAGGAGCAGTTGACATGTCCAACCTTGGTTTTGTTGGCAAGGCATTAGAGTTACTCTACAAAAATGTCATGGAGAATGATGTACGCAAACAAATTGCTATGATAGAGGGAATTCTCAACAAAAAACTTTGAGGGTAAACTCTACTTTACATAACTTTTTGTAATATTTTAAATTTATTTGTTAAGATTTTTGTTAGATTACTGCTTTTATTGTTATATAGAAATTGTTCTTTAACTGATTTATAGTGATAGTTTAGGTAGGTACATTCCAATACTGGCAAATAACTAGAATGGTGCTAAAACTTACATTTTGACAATTATTTATTAACTTTTACCAAATTTTATCCAAACTACTTACACCTGATTCATTGTTAGCTACTGAAAATATCTGCTTTAGACTGACAATTTCTTGACTCCGAAAAGGATAAATTTAATTTTTCAAGTGTCCATTGAAAATAGTTTGGTGGTTCAGTTTGCAGAACAAGATGTGATCCATCAATTAAAAATTGATGAAGAACCAATTCCTAAAAAAGGAAGCACAAGTTATATCTATATCATCTCAGGCAAAGAATGAGTACACTGGATAAACCTATTTTACTTACATGCAAATGAAAATGCAAAGGTATTAAAGTTTCTGATCCACTTCTTGCATTGAGGGCTTGAAGTAATGGTAGTGGTAATGCCTAAATTCCGAAAATAAAAAGAGTAACAGGTTACCAAACATAATTAGCGACCTAGGAGTGTGCACTGTACAATTGACATACCTTTACGGCTGGTGCATGCCACGGTTTTATTAAAACTGGTTTTTCAAAGACTGAGCCTACTCTTGGACCAAACATATTGTCGCCCAAAACAGGTGAGAACATTACATCAGATAGATACATTCTTGGAAAGTGATGTCTCATCTGCCATGTTGAAACTGAGACCAAAGATGCGAACTCTGATGTGGCAAGGACATTGTGTCTAATAAATCCAACATTGACCTCTCGGCGCTTGACTTCATTAGCACCCCAGTCGTGCAAAACTAGAGGCTAAAATATAGAAGAAGATTAGGTTTCATACAGAAAGACAAAGTCTTGGCTGAGCGCCTAAGATAAAATATAGATAGACTTAATAAAAGAGTGAAGCAAGACTGTTTGACACCTCGCGGACCTATTAACTAGTTTCCCCCAAAAAACTCAAAATGAAGGCAACATGAAAAAGTAATTCATATGCAAGGGGCAAGGAAAAAAAAAATTTTGCTTGAAAGATGGCGATTCATGAGGAAAATAGATTAAGGAATAGGTGTTAGAATTAGAACAGCAAAGGTGATGGAATTGAAGGTTCCTGCCTAGTTATTTTCCAATAAAATTATCAGTTGAAAACTCACATAATTTATATTATCTTTGCGTCGTTTTGTGACACCATATTGATTCACGTTTTCTTGCATGGAAGGACGACCAACAGTTACTGCTAAAAATGTTTGTTTAGGATCTCTTGAAAAAATTGCCTTAGATCTTTTGAGCGACTTTTCTATTCTTTTGGTAATCTTCTCATTTGATGAAAGCAATGTCACACCACTGCAGTACCTGAAAATTATATTAACATTTAAAAATAGAATCATCTGACAAAATTCTAATACTGTTTCAAAATATTTGCAGTTCAAAACTAACTTGTCGGGAACACTGACTAATTGCAAGTATTTGTAGCCAAACTCCTTGGCTAAGTAAGGTAGGCAATTGTAGATAGTGTCCTCTGTTCGTGATGACCCTAGATTCAGGGGCTTATTTATCGCCACAACACCATCTGCCAAGTGAAAGAAAATTGAAATTCAGCTTATGCAAAAAGCAATTAACAAGAGATCGGCTTCTAATGTTGCAGCAGAAGCATTTTAAATGCTTACTCTGGTGATAAAAGACATTCTCCAACAAATATTTGGAGGTTGACTCAACATCCAAATACTTCCATATGCTGCTATATTCATGAAAACTCTTAGATTTTTCATGGATTGACTGATCTGAGTTGTTAACATTGCATGAATGAAACGAGCATAAACTATTTTTAAATGAATGAATGGTATTGGAAAAATAAACTTTTTGAAGGCATGATTTGAATGATGACATGTCAGTAAAATTCCCTAGATTTACAGAGGAAAGAACAACCACATACAAATAAAGATATTTAAGCTGATTAGTGTACAAACGTTATTATTGCAATTATAACCAAAGTAATCACATGTCCAAGATGGGCGGTTAAGAAAAATATATATAGATATAATTTGAACGCCTCAGTAAAAGCACAGATTTTTCTTGGTAATTGTTGTTAATACTTGTTGAATTGAATGTATTATAAAAACCTAAGCAATAACTATGAAGAAAGAGGAAAGTGACAACAGAAATACCCCATTAAATCAGAAAATCAGATTATGAGAAATTCAAATCAAGTTCGATACTCGTTTACCAGAACGAGAATCGACGTTAACTTTTGTTTCTGTTTTGATGGTTGTTGCAGTTGCATAGGGTTTTGCTACCGTTGGTGTGTATTTTATACACATTTGACACATTCCTGTAGGATGCGCTTCAAAAGACCCAAGATTTTCCGATGCGTTGAAACAAGCCTCTTCATTTTACTCAGATTTCAGTGTGTTGCCATGGCTGTGTAAAGTGTAAAACCATATAATGGCAGCGGGGAACGAGTGTGCTGAGGCGACTCGGGTCCTTCTAGTAGACCCGCAGTCCCTGCCGGTTCTTTTGCAAAATGATTCAGAGGGGGATACTGGCAACATATCTGTTGACCTCCTGCAACAAGCCTTGCAGGGCACCTCAGCCATTGACGACGGGGATGACGAAGAGTCGGGCGAGGAGGTTAGCCTGGATGCACTCGCAGGCGGCAACAACGATGTTGTGGCCATTTATCAAGGCGAAGAGGGACAGACGCACACAATCAAGATTTCTCTGGCTGAAGCCCAATCATTGGGACTCCAATTTGATACAGATAACTACCCACTATCATTAAGTAATGGCTCGCTCCTGAGTGGCGTGAAAGTTGTCAATGATCAACTAAGCGACAACACTGGTGGTCTAAATAATTCGAGCCTTTTGCAAAGTGTGGCATGCTCTAATGTAGCAGCAGATGGAAGGATCATTGATGAAGAAGGCAACATTGTTCAGACAACAGAGGGTTTGCAAATACTTCCTTCCACATTATCTTCATTCCTTGACGATGGAATGAATCAATCTCTCTCCATTATTCCTCAGTATGAACTAGATGGTACAGTTACTTATGCTGTTAAACTGAAAGATCAGAATGATACTGTTTTGGGAACGGACTATCATATACTCGAACCTGACTCCTCAGCTAAAACGGGCTTGGACATTGAAGAGGAGCTTAAAAATTCTAATTCTGGTGCCTCAACAATTCAGGTTCCTATATCTACTTTAGAAGCCTTGTCCAAACAAATGCTGCTGCCATCCACAAGCTCATCAGTACCCATTTCAATGACACTATCAATTCCAACTCAAACTTCAGTGCCGTCTCATTCATCTGTATCTTCATCCACCAGCCTGGCTACACCTAATCCTAACAGGTTCTTTCAAATTGTTACGGGTCATGGTTCAGTTGGACTCAATAATGTTATTACTGCTGACCCTGCGACACTTAGCACCATTGTATCACAACCAACCCTCAGTGTTAATCAACAGCATGCTCATCTAATCAGCCAGTCTACACCGATGATCAATGTTCAAAACTCTCCAGCTTTAACCATTGTAGGTAATAGTGGGACTAGAAGTCAACACACATCAAGACAACACAGTCTGAATGATAAGTAAGATTTTATCAAACTCTGCTTCTGTATTTTGTATCTCATTCTAGTAGAAATTGCTTATATATGCTACAATAATTTTCTGTATCTACCCAGATTGCAACCAATACTGCCATTGCCGAAGAATCATCAAGGCACACACTTAAAAACTGTGACAGCATTAAAAAAGTTGCCTATACCTGCTAAAGCTGTTGCTCCATCTGCCATCACTACATCCTCAGTCAGTTCACCTGCATTAGCATCAGTAGCACCTCAAACCAGCCAACCAAATTTTGGAAGTGCCTCATCTTTAAAAACTATGCAATTGTCCAATGCAAGAGTCTCATCATCCACTTCCAATTCATCAAAGCCTTTGGGCTCCAGTGAAAATCCTATTCAGTTAGTTCAACAAGGACAGACATTTCACAGGTATTTTTCCTTTTTGTGTGCTTAAACTATTAGTTTTCTATTGAGGGAATTATTTTTTTAATAATGACTAATTATGTTTATTTTTATAAAAATATAGCATGCAAGCACTGAGTCAGGCTCAATTACGACAGATTGCCACTGTTTTACAGCAAAAGCATTTAAATTCAAACTCTGTTACTTCAAAAAATGTTCTTTTTGATGAGCAAACCAAGACTCGAATTGTGTACAGGTATACTGTTGTTTTGTTGAAGTATAGAGGGTGGCTGCTAGATTTTCGATTGTGACTAGCTTCTTTTCTTGAATATCTTAGTTATTAATCATTCTGTGTACTCATGACAGAGTTGTGTATCCTGAGGATGTCGATCTTCAACAACCAACCTCTCCAACTGAAATTACTGGAGGTTCTGTTGGGCAGCCATTAAAAAATGCCAGTCGCTTGAAAGGCAAGAAAGGTCGGCCAAAGAAAGGAAGACGGACAAAGCAGCTGGGGGTAGAGAAGCATACTAATAAATTAAGTCAAGTTTCCATACCTTCAGACCCCTCTAGCTCTCAGCCCGTAGGTGTCAAAAGTTGTAATACCAGAGAAGAAAATGGGCAACCAGATGAAGTGCCAAAGGTAGGTGCTTTCACACATTACCTGTTTCTTTTTTTTTTTAAGTAAATAGATTTTTATTTTTTAATTGTTGAGAAATGAAAATGAATATTTTCTCTATTAGGTTGAAAGGAAAAAGGTTTTGGGATCCAGAACAAGGTCAGGGCGTGTTTCTCGGCCTCCAAAGCACATGATGAAAGATTACAAACGTCTTCACCATACCGACTTCCGGGAGCGAGATGTTGATGATTCCGATGGAGGCTACTCAGACTACAGCAATCCTGACCAGACACTTGATAAGCCCCCCCTGAAGGAGGTAGAAATGAATTTGTCTCCAGGTAAGAAGAGATATAGTAGCTTGACCAAAATTCTGCACTTTTGTTTAAGGCAACATTATCTCAATATTTTCCATTTTCATCCAGCAAAGAAAAGAATTTCTCGCTTTACATGTCCCACATGTGAAAAATTGTACCTTGGCCTCGGTCGAATGGAAAAACATTTTTTACAACACCCAGATCATGGTTCATTTGAGGAATTCAAGCAGCATCTAGCAGCCTCAACTGCTACTGATATGAATGTTGGTGAAGGTAAGCCATCCATCTCTTCATTTTATTGTCAGTGCTACATTTATTATCCGAGCAATGTTTAATGAAATAAATGAACAACCCCTTAGAGACTCTTGGTGAAAAAGAAACAAAAAGTCTCTCTACTAAAGGCCATTCACTTAAGGGTAAGAAAAGAGCCCAAGGTTTTAGTCAATCCGAAAAGGAACGCTCAGAACTACGTAAGAAAAGATTGAAGCAGGTAATGAATTATGAAATCTAATTAGGTGTAAAATTGTGGATTTGGTTTTCTATTGCAATGCTTTATTTAAAATTATTTGTGTGCAGGCTTTACAAGCCTGTGAGGTTTCAGAAGTACTCGAAATAGCTGGACCTCTTGTTGCTCGATACTATTCCTTGTGGGATCTATTACTGTTACGTCTTTCATCAAGAGAAGAGTCCAACTTGGAAAAAAGTACTTGTGCCCTTGTTGATGATCACAAGGATGGTTTAAAATTAACTCAGGATAGCTTGAACGCTCAGGGTCTACCTACTGTAGACAAGCATGATGATTTCTTGAGGAAGGACTGTGATAGTGGTCAAAATATTCGCTCTACTAACAATCGAGTTCAGTGGTTACTCATGGAACTTGCATCTCTAGCTGATACTTTACAATCCGTGGCAGGAGATCTATTTCAGCCAGCCCTAATGCATGGTGATGGTAAAAATCATGTGAAGGTATGCTGAAATAATTTAACAAATTTTCTTTCTATTGGAGCACAACTTGACAAAAGGTTATTTGCCACACCATTATATTTTTAATTTTTATTTTGTGTTTTACAGATAACCCAAAAAAATATATCAGAATTTCTTGGTGTAAGTTGTGGTCTGTATAGTGTAAATGAAGAACATTTATTTAGAAGGATGGAATCAGTTTCTGGTAATTCTAAGCAAACCTCAAATGAAGACATGGACGTGCCTCCTGGAAAAAAATCTCGAAAACTTGATCCAAATGAATTTAATTTGAATCTAGCTCACGAAGGTAAGGAAATTAAGTTTTACTGTGTTTCTCCTGCTTTATTTTTTTTCTGATAGTGTGATTTATTGCCAACAGCTCCTGTTTGTCCTGAAACATTGTCTACACTATCTCTGATGGTGAAACCTGGCAATGACAAAGTCATGCTTACGGAAGATATGCCCTTTTTAAATTCTAGTGATGATATGATTTGTGGTAGTGAAGATCCTGACCTCTCAACAGATAGTAAGCGTGACCAAGATTGTGATCCAGCTGCTGGTTTGCAGGTTGTTGATGACATTGTTAATGAACGCTTGAAAAACCTTAGTGACAACATGAACTTTTCAGTACCATTGCAGGGTGAATTAGATACTTCAGCTATGAATAGTCAACAAACAGACCTTCATTTAATGTCAAGTTTTGGTGATGCTGGCAATTCCATTTCTGTCAGTCATTCTTCTGTGATATCAAATAATTTAGCTGAGAACAATAAGTCATCAGCCAGTGTATCAAATATGGACTTAATAGGTTCATATTCTATGCCATCACTCACACGCCCTACCACACATAATGTAAATATTTCAAATTCTGAACCATCTAACGATTTATCTAGTGCTCTAGAACCAGTTACTAGTCAAAGTATGCTTGGTAACTTTGGCATGAGTCTTTCATCTCTCTCTTCTTTTGATCCACTTCAATCTCAATCTTCAACTGTTTCTCATTCAGAAGATAGTTTCCTTGAAAGTTTAAGTTCATTTGAAGCACCTCTTTCTCAGTCATGTGATGCTTCAAGCGCAACGGGATCCACATTCAATGACAGTGTAATGAAGTCCAATGGTTTACTGCATCTTGGGAATGAAACACAAGAGCCTTCACGGTTGCCTCCAAAATTCATTTCATCTTTTACACCGGCTATCACAAATGAAAAATCGTCAACCACTATATCAACAGCTCAGAGATTGCAGAGGACCTACTTAGAACTTGACAGTGGACTTGATGTTGGATTGGATCTTGATTTTGAAGCTTTCACTCAGGAATTAAGCATGAATCAGAATAATAATTCGTGAACTCAGTTTCATGTAACTAAAGAGTTATTTGCCACTAGCAGGCTTAAAGATGCTGAAACTCTTTGTGATTTTTTAAAAAAGGAATGCGGAATACGGAATACTGAGGTACTGACCATCTGTGATCTTTCTCTTCTTTTCTTGAACTAATATAGAGCTCAATTTTATGTCATTTCAATCAACACAATCGATCAGCTGTTTATTTTGGCTGTGCTCTATAGTCATTGTACTAAAATGTCTTGTGTAAGTTTAAGAACATTGTGTTGCTGAGACAGTTAGTTTGTGTTATGTTGTACTATTATTTGTTTAGCAATTTTATATGTTTAGAATTATTTTCCTCTGTTGAATGCTTTGTTAGCGATTAGTTACGGTTATGACCATAATACTTAAGAAGCAATTAGGCAGGTGTAATGTCCTCCTGAAATAAATGTCATCATAGTTTGCTGATCAAATTTCTTTGCAGAATCTTGTGACAATATTATGTACAAAGCAAATAGGTATCCACCTCATCTTATGGCATTATATTAAACTTATTTTCACGTTTTTGGTTAATTTGTTTTCAGCAAAACCTTTTTTTGAGATTTTGGTGAGCAGTTGACTCTTATGCTTCCATGCATTTGTGTTCCTTCTCATTTTTTGTTGCCAATCCTTAGTTTCACATAATAATTGTAGAATATGTCAATAGAACTACAACCAAACTTCAAGTGTATGATATATAACATTAGTTGAACAGTTGTTAAGTTCTAAGACTGAGAAATAGTAATTACCTACGGTCAGTGTAGAGTATTATGAGACTCACTTAAATGTAAAACTGGTGTAATTATTAATTTTTTTAATGTGAATTTGATCTACTTATAGAACTCAATATTTTTATACTACACTGTTTTATTGTACAACTTGCCTGACCTTGGCAGAAAACTAAATGTAAATAACTGTATTGCTCCATTAATTCAAATCTTTGGTTTTACCTTGATTTTTCTGTGAACCTCTTTGAATAGATGTCTACTTATATACTGTACTATTGTGTATTGGCTGCTCTGCTGCAGGAAGGCTGCTTATGTAAGCTGTACTGTCTTGTATGTTCCTGTAATTGTATGTTGCTTCAAAACTTCCGCTTTAATGTTTTAATACTGTGAAGAAACTTTGGTCTTAAAGCAGCATCATAAGAACCCATGTAAGTAAATTATTTGTGGGTGGAATAATAAATGTTAACATCATACTCAAAACTAATTTTCTATCTTAGATCTGTTTCGTAAAAGATAGTTTCAAGCAAAACTTTACATTCATTTGAAATGAAGGGTTGAAGAGTCCAGCTGGTGATGTAGTAAGATAAGCATTCTTTTTTTGGAGAATGGGCAACCTCTTCCTTTATAACATTTTTCAGAGCCAGTTCTTTTGCATAAGCATTATAAATCTCCTGATATGCTTGTCCTTTCAAAGGAAAGTAGAAAGTATGAATAACTCACAGTGAGGTATAAATTATTTGGGTGGGGAGCTCTACGTACCAAATTTTCCAGTGGACCATGAAAGATGAATGGGACCCTTATCGCCACCTTGTAGATTGTCAAGTTCGACAAGGGCTTTCAACTGTTGTACTAAAACTGCTAGATTAGTAAAGCAAGAATTCTGAAACAATGGAATTTCTTCTATTAAAAGAGCTGACAAATCTTAACAAAGGCACAAATTATTTCAAAGTCTTTTCGGAATAGCAACTTACCATTTTATCTAGAACATGTTGTAGTTGATCACATCGTTCTTGCAGACCTTGAGGGTAAAGTTCTCTTTCACTACTTCTCCTGTACAATGATAATTCAAACCTAGATGTAAATAAGAAATGCAGTAAACACAAATTCTAATATAAAAATGATCGTAACTTACATAGAGTCAATCTTCAAAGTTTTTATGCTGTTGAGAACCGCAATTCCAGTTACGTGAAGCTTACTCCATTGCTTCACAAAATTCTTAAGCTCTATTGCAGACTCTTTAATTTTCAATGGTATGCCTGAAAGGTTTGTATTTCTTGGAAGAGCTGTAAGTGAGGAGCAAACAAAGTAACATAACAAATGTGAAAATTAATGACAGTCGTTTTCTTCTTTATTTTCTAACTTACATTCTACAACTTGGCGTCGTTTTGATGATGCTATGTCTACACGTGGTGTATTACTGTTTGACATCTTATTGGTCCTATTTTTTTGTTTTTATTAGTTAAAATACATTTTAGAACTATAACCTCTTCCAGCTCGTGTTGATGTTTAGTTTGAGCAGTTTCAGCTGAGCTGAGCTAGTAATTTTTCATCTTGTATTAAACTTCATCGTTTTAAAATAAAATATGTAATAAAGAGATGTATCTCAAATTTCTGGGAGAAGAAAACGCTGATGATGAAAGCAAACACGAATTCGGTAACTATTGGAGCAAAAGAATTTAAATATTGCCTAAATTTCGAACGCAAAGTTCGAAAATCGCGCTCTTCTGACTTTCACTCACAACTTTAGTCAGTATCATATCTTCACCGTATAGAAACTCTCAAGCAAGGACATATTTCTTTACCAATGTGGCTGATAAATTTTGAAATATATAGAAAACTGCATGCCATGTGGGGAGTGTGGATGTATTCATGCTTCTTTTGAATTTGTTAAAAACTTGACCAAACAAGGTAACATATTTTTATATTTGATAGAGGGCGTCGACACAAGACGACAACCTACTGAAAATTTGCAGCACAGTTCTGGTTCTAATTTCACTTTGATTAATTGTCAGTGGTCATTAAAAGTCTTGCCACGCACGCCGCACACGCCATACATTATTTAAATTTGCTATCGGGTGGACATTTCGCCCGTGGCCGGCACATCCCACCGGCAACCTGTTGCTCGCTTGTGATGAATGGCGTTGGTTAACCCGCGACGCCACATCGTCGTCGAAAACCGCCGTTTCACCTTGTTCCTGTAACGCGCGTGACGTAACGTAACGTAGGGACGTAGGCGGCGGGCGAAGGCACACCCGTAAAGAGAAGTCACGGGACGGCTGCTTGCTGTTGACAAGTTCGATATCTTAGGCCTAGAAGCAGCTCCCAAACGTTTCGCTACTCCGCGCGCTTGTCAAGCGTCACATTTTAACAGTGGATGGACCTGTGAGTGCAGTGCAGTGACGTGTACGAAAGTCGGCTCAGTCCGGCGTAGGCCTCTCTGTGCGGCGGGGCAGGCGGGCGGCACGGCTTCACGCGAGTCGGGTCGAGTCAGTGGATTGGATATTGTGACCAGTGCAAGTGTAGTTCAAATTTTCCAACATGCCGAAGCAAATGAATGTGCGTGTGACGACGATGGATGCGGAGTTGGAGTTTGCTATCCAGCAGACTACCACCGGCAAACAGCTCTTCGACCAAGTTGTGAAAACAATTGGCCTTCGTGAGGTGTGGTTCTTCGGCCTCCAGTACACAGACAGCAAGGGTGACTTGACGTGGATCAAACTCTACAAGAAAGTCACCAGCCAGGATGTCAAGAAAGAGAATCCATTGCAGTTCAAATTCCGAGCCAAATTTTATCCAGAGGATGTAGGACAAGAACTTATTCAGGACATTACTCTGAGACTTTTCTACCTTCAAGTCAAGAATGCCATCTTATCAGACGAAATATTTTGCCCTGCTGAAACATCTGTTCTTTTGGCATCATACGCTGTGCAAGCCAGACATGGTGATTATAATGCTTCAATTCATGAGCCTGGCTTTCTAGCAAGGGATCGGTTGCTACCTCAACGTGTGTTTGATCAACATCAAATGTCCAAGGACCAGTGGGAAGTTCGTATTATTCGCTGGTGGACAGAGCACAAAGGTATGCCTCGTGAAGATGCAATGATGGAGTACCTTAAAATTGCTCAAGATCTTGACATGTACGGCATTAACTATTTTGAGATCCGTAACAAGAAAGGCACAGATTTATGGCTTGGTGTTGATGCCTTAGGATTGAATATCTATGCTAAAGATAATAAGCTCACACCAAAAATTGGTTTCCCTTGGGCTGAAATCAGCAATATTTCATTTAATGACCGCAAGTTCATTATCAAGCCTATTGACAAGAAAGCACAGGATGTAGTCTTCTTTGCACCTCGTGTCCGCATTAACAAACGCATTCTTGCTTTATGCATGGGAAATCATGAACTGTTTATGCGAAGACGTAAACCTGACACTATTGATGTTCAACAAATGAAAACTCAAGCTAGAGAGGAAAAGCAAGCTATGCAACAACAGAGAGAAAAGCTTCAGATGGAAATTGCTGCACGAGAAAAGGCTGAAAAGAAACAGCAGGAATATGAAGAGAGGCTTCGTTCCATGCAAGAAGAAATTGAAAGACGCCAGCAAGAATTGACCACTGCTCAGGACATGATTCGTCGGCTGGAAGAGCAGTTACGCCAGTTGCAGATTGCAAAGGATGAGCTTGAAACACGCCAGAATGAGCTACAAGCAATGATGGAGCGCTTGGAGGAGAGCAAGAACATGGAAGCTGCTGAAAGAGCCAAGCTTGAGGAGGAAATTCAAACCAAGCAGATGGAGGTCATGCGTATTCAAGATGAGGTTCAGGCTAAAGATGAGGAGACCAGACGTCTTCAAGAAGAGGTTGAACTTGCAAGGGAAAAGCAAGAGGCTGCAACAGCAGCATTGGCAGCCGCTGCCACCACTCCCAAGCATCACCATGTTCAAGAAAATGAGCATGATGATGATGATGAAAATGATGAGATGAGCAATGGTGATGTGAGCCGTGATCTTGCTACGGATTCAGATATTGTTGATCCTATTGAAGAACGACGTACTCTTGCTGAGCGTAATGAAAGACTTCAAAGTCAATTGAAGAGCTTGAAAGAAGACCTCGCCCAGTCCCGTGATGATTCCAAGGAAACAACCATGGATAAGATTCATCGTGAAAATGTTCGTCAGGGCCGTGATAAGTACAAGACTCTGCGAGAAATCCGTAAGGGCAACACCAAGCGCCGGGTTGATCAATTTGAAAATATGTAATCTTTTCAAGTGTACTTGGATTCTCTTTTATGACAAAGAGAAATCATGGCATTGAAGATTTATTCATGTTCAATCTCTTCCCCTCATCTTTGTCTGCGAGTGAATAATAGTTTGAAAGTTAGTGCAGTCTTCAAAGAGATTGTTTTATTGGAGTTTTCTGGGACTACTTTCATGTTGAGGACTCCTGGGGGAAGTGATTTTAAAGTGAGATCGTCATCTTTTCCATGACTGAGGCTCTGACGAGCAGGAAAGGCCCACAGTACTCAGCCAGCCTTCTAATCAGGTGTGATACATTTGTACAGCTCATTATTTTTTTAATATCTGATAGTATTTCTGATAACTATGCTGTTTAAAGATGTGCCTATGTTTTAATGTAGGTATTAATTATTCAATCCTCATATCTATAAATCAGAACGTTCATGTAGTAAAGAAAACAATATTTGTCCTTGCCAATGTATTTTTGACCAGTTGTACTCTAAGTTGGCATATTGTTTCAGCCTGACAAAATTTACATAGATGTATTGTATGCCGCCGTCCATTTCTTTATGGCTCAATTATGTGAGCATTGCATGTGGGGGTCTTGCACTTCAGGGTAACCTTTTCTATTCAGTCTGGCATTAGTATTTAGTTCTATGTTCTCTTTTCAGAACAAAAGCATGTTATCCATTCCTCCTTCCTGTTCAGTTGTTTTATCCTATCTAAATTTCATTTTGTCAATTTTGACAGACTGTGTTATCAATCATCCTCATACATACTGGATTAAGGCAGGGTTTCTTTTAAGCAAGTTCTATAATTTGAAGTGACTCAATTCTCTTCAGATTTGACTGAATGGCAGGGTTATTTGAGGCATGTTTCTCTTCCTAGTTTTTTCCCCTGTAATACTATTCTTGATGTTTATTGGGTCCTAGATCAGTATTATTGTTACTGAGCATCTGTTTATCACAGTAATGCTCGTTTAGCCCCACTGTTGTCAGACCTATCACTAATTGGAGAGAGAAACTATTGGTCTCAATACTTCTCAAACTTTTATTGAAGTGGTGCATTTTTTAACTCACCTAATGCTGAGTTTAGATTTCAGATTCCATCAGCATTTATGAATACATTATTAAGGTCCTGTTTTTGGCAATGGGAGGGCATTTGGTTTTATTCCCATTGCAACTCTATTTTTTATAATTTGGTTTCATCTTATTTTCTT